GAACAGGGTTTGTTCTAAACACTTAAAACCTATGAACTGAAGAATCAACTTGCACCCATCTTATGAACACAAATCAAGCCACAGAAAGGTCAGATAAGTTGCCCAGGACTCCATAATTAGAGAAAGGTAGAAAGGGACTAAACCCAGGCCACTGACGTGTTTCTAGCAGGGGCCAGCCTGTCACTTCATTAGCTCAGGCTACGTGCAAACACGTACCACTTGGGCAGTAGAAAAGACCCCTGAGAATGGTGGTGAGAGAGAGACTACTACATGCTTTGAGTATGAGGATATGGGTAGGAGGTTAGCAGAAGCACTGGCGCCAGGCCCCAGGTTCTTCCTGCCCATCCCGCACCAGCTCTCAAGAAAACCTTGGGTCTCAGTCCTCTTACCAGAAGAGGGGACAGTAACTCTGTGTCACTCGCCTCCTACCCATGAACAGTGAGAGGCAACAGGCACAGTGGAGGGGCAGTTCCTGAGCAGAATAGGGAGGAGGATGGTGAAATGAATGCCAGACTCGATAAGAAAGGGGAGGACTGAGCCCAAACACCAGGGGAACCAGGCAAGAAGTACATCCCCAGGGCCCTGCAAGCCTATCTGCCCAGTTCTCAGGGTACAGGTACCCGGCCTTGGACACCCAAGTCACATGGGACTTCCTCCATACCATAGGCTCACAAGTGCACCCTCTAAACAGATTCTTTTTTTTTTTTTTTTTGCTCCGAATGCCTTCAGGGCAGATTTGGCTGGTTTGAGTTGTGGGGATCGAACCACAGCAACCTGAGCCTGACTGCTTTGTTGAAGCAGCCACTTAAAGAACTGAGCTAAGGGGCAGGCCCCCTCTAAACAGATTCTTGATCATCTCCTCCCAACGGCTGCTACACAGACAAGGGGAGAGGCTCTCCAGGGAGGCAAGTGTGTAACTGTGATGCTGCCCTTCAGATCTAGGTGAATGTGATTCAGTTACAGCCAACCTGGGAGTACCATGGGGGACAGCGCAAGCATTTCCTTTTCTCCAAGCATCAGGTTCACGGAGTGGGACCTAAAAGAATTTTCTTTGGAGAAGCAAAGAGAAAGAAAAAGGTCCTAGACAGGGCAGTGAGAACTATTCTAAAAGCGAGAAGGTTCAAAAAAAGACCTTAACCTGTATTGCTTGGCAGAGTCCTTACTGTTCCTAGGACTGTGGCCTTTGTTCTGAGTTCCTCTGGATGCTGCTTGAGACATGATGACAGGCATGGGTGAAGAGAACCAGAAGCCCCTGCTCTGGGGAGATTCAGTGCAGGTTCTTTTCCTGTTCTGGACTTGCTTCTGCTCAAATGAAGTTGGTAGTCTTCTAAGGGCTGTGTCCTGCCCACTTCCAGGGGACACAAGCTGGAGGCCCCATCGATGAGGTCAGGTCCATGAGTACCTGGGCCCACGTCTGGTACCTACAGTCTTAGACCCGCTTAGACATGTGCTAGGACATGGAGCATGGCTCAGGGAGAAAGCCACAGCTTCAGGTGCCCCCATCCCATCCCCCTACTCCTGGGAACTGCTTATCCGGCTGAACTGCCCTGAGATAGTGTTTGAGGTAGCTAGGATACCTGGAATTCTTCCCAAGACCCCAAGCAGATGGATTCTCAAAGATCTGAGGCCATGTTACCCAAGTTAAATCTCTTTAATATCTCAATATAAAGTCCTGATGCAAAAAGACAATGAGAAAACCCTGGGAAGTTCAGGGGAGGGGTTTTACAAATAAAACCCCCTGAGCAGCTTTTCCGAGGCAGGGGTGGGGGTGAGGAGCTAAGAGAAGCAGCAGTCCAAAGTGAGGGAGTGCACAGCTCCTGGGACCTGCCCCTGTTGCCTCACTCCCAGCTGCTCCTCCACCCCCTTTCAAGAGGGATTGCACCCTTTGGATATCTTCTTTCTCTTGGTCCCTGGGATTCAACTCGCTCTGGCTTCAATCCCCTACAAAAATTCCTGAGATCTCGGGGACCCCAGCCAGCCTCTCCCCTGTAGTACCCCTTAGTGGGGAGGGGCTGGGAAGCCCATGACAGTTCACTGGAGTCACACATGAGCGAAGGTCAGGAGCACAGGAGGGCCTCTGAGTCCCCTGCCCGTTCCAAAAGCACACAAAGGGGAAGGCTGCCGTAGAGTTTGGGATCCGTGAGGGGCTGGAGCAGAAGCAGGAAGAGTGCTACACCCAGGGCATAGCCTACGAGCAGGCACCGCCTCTGCGGATGCTCCAGGGCTGCACACACGGCGGGAAAGCCCATGTAATTGCAGAAGGAGTGGCAGAGAACCGGCCCAACCAGGTGTCCTGGGGAGGGGAGACAGTGCAGCTCATGGAGCAGCTCCACTGCCTCTTCCACCCCTTCCAGGGCCAGCGACCCTCACCCCGATAAAGCTTAGTGGCCCACCCCCACCCACTCTACTTCCTTCCACCTCAGACCTCACCAAGCTGAAGGTCCTGGATCAACCTGTCTCAAGGAGCACTGAATAAACATTTTGTCACTCCTAGAACACAGCATTCCCATTCTCCCACCCACTCCTGTGGGTCCCTGAACCCCCAGAGACCCATGCGAGACTGAAGACCAACCTGTGCGGATGAAGAGGAAAGCAGTGTAGGCACCGAAGACAGCTGTGTAGGAGAACTGGAACGCTGGAGACGGGGAGGCCACAAGTGACCACACCTGCACGCCCACCCTGCCCCAGTACTGCATGCCATCAGCCAGAGACAATCCCCTTCCCCCTGGGGCAGCAGCTGCCTACTTCACCACCTATGGCTGTCCTCTGCACCCCAACTCCCATGGTCAGTGGTCCCTCTAATACTGTTGACCTCTGTTTCTAATTTTTTCCCTAAAAAATGGTTGTCAAGGACACCCTAACATACTCATCCCAGGCACTCACCTGCAGATAAGAAGATGCTCCCCACACTGCTCTGGCGGAAACGCAGCTGCTCAATAATGTGGTGAAAATGGGCTAGAAAGAAGGTGAAAACCATACCATAGCCCTCTGGCCTTCACTCTAGGCTCATCCTTTACCCTCAGTCTCATTCTCAGGACCATACTCACCAACTCCAAAAAAGAGTGGGCAGGTGAATACAGCAGGGCCCAGGCCTGTGCACGGTGCTAACATGGGCAGCATACAGGCCCGGAATACCAGCTCCTCTGTCAGGGGTGCGATCACTTGGTTCCGCAGCCAACGCATATCTGTGAGGCAGCGGGCCCAGGAGCGGGGGGCTAAGTAGCAGATTAAGGACAGGCAATGAATGACTAGTTATTAAATAATGAGACTCAGAGGCACCTCTTTCACAACTTTACCCAGGCCAAATACAGGCCAGGCATTAATACTTCTGAGAAGTGGAAAAGGGGACAACAGCATTATGTTTACCAAGCCCAATGTAAAGCAGTGTCTCAACACAATTTAAAGGAAAGGCGGGGCTGGTGAGATGGCTCAGTGGTCTAAAGCACCTACTTAGAACAAGCTAAGCTCAAGCAAAGCACAGAGACCTTGGTTCAATCCCCCAGCACCACATGCTGGCCCGCCCACCCCCTGGTGGGCTGAGCTGGCCACACACTAAATAAATAAGTAAATAAATAAATAAATATTAAAAAAAAAAAAAGGAAAGACATTAGTAGCTGAGGAAGGGTACTCTTGTAGTAAACTACACAGACATCAAAATATAAGGCCATTTCAGCTTTGAAGAAGCAAAAGGTTGTGGAAGCAGGGGATGACACACTGGTCCAGATCCAGTATTGGTGAAGGTCCCAAGGAGACTCCATGCACATCAGAAACCACTCTTTATACACCTCCCAGCAATTTTACTGATCAGGAAACACACCCTGAGAGAGGACATTGCCTATTTCCTGTCCAGATTGCATTATGAGCCCACTGATTCTCTTTCCCAAGACCACCCTGGACAGACTATGCCTCCCCCCCCCTTTTGTCTTGAACACTCACCCAAGACATCTTTCAGCCCATCTGCCAGGTCACACTGGCAGTCCATGTACAGCTGCATCAGTGGGCCCAGAAAAAGGATCTGGTGGCATAAAAATAGTAGAAATCAAACCACTTTTTTTTTTCACCACAAACCACTTTATTGTCCAGACCTTTAACCTTACCCAGCCTCACTGGACTTCAGACTTCTTCAATTCTGGGATATCCTCTACCCCATGCATACTCCAGAGCCCTGACTTCCATCACCCAAAAGCTGGACACAAGGGGGTGGGGGGAAAGCCACAAAAGGCTCATAATATTAGCGACAACACAGTAGGAAAGATAAAGCAGAACTCACCATGGTCAGCAGGAGGGGCAGTAGAGCTGCTGGGAAAATGCCCTCCAGTCTGAAACCCATCAAGGTGAGAAGGGATGTGCCTGGCTGAGCCACAGGAAAGGGGGCATCAGTCCTGCTCCCTCCCCAAAGACCCTTGAGTTCGATCTTATTGCCCCTTGCCCCGTTTCCTTCGCACCTGGATACCAGTGAGTTCCCTCCAGAGCAGCACGCAGAGAGGCGAAAGACTGGAGACCACCAGGACACTGGTGAAGCGCCGCTTGATGACGGCGGGGTGGTCCCTACGAAGTGGACAGTAAGTTCAGGGGACCCTCAACCACCACCTGTCAGCTTGGTCCGCCCCTGGCTCACCCAAGCTCCGCCCGCCGCTCAGCCCGCGGGGGCGCGGATTCAGGCCGCGCGCATTCCCCGCACCTGGGCAGTTCGCTCTTCCAGACATAGAGGCTGCCCACGTAGGAACAGGCGAGGCTGAGGCAGGAGAACACTGACAACCAGCAGCACAACTCGGGCCTCCGGCCCCCTAGCGCTGTTGACTCGGAATGCCGCTCAGGCCGCGACACAGACAGCAAGCGACGCGCATCCCCGCCCAGCGCCGCCATCAAGCCCGGACCGCGGCGCGTACCAGTGACGCTAACCCTTGGACGTGCGGATGACGTCATGCGGCGAGTCCCGCCTCGGGCTCCGCCCCCTAACGTCCTCACCGAGGTACTGGAATGGACTCAACGCACTCGTGGAGCAGCTTTATTAAACATCATACAGTTGCCCGCAGATAACCCTCCCCATACGTCCCCGAGGAGTTTTTGGATCGTCACGATTTACGACCCCTCGCCAGAACCTGGATTCAGCCAGTCTGCCAAATTCGCAACTTCCTGTAGCCACAGGGCATCCTGCGGGAGCAAAGGGGCCGGTGTAAGAACCTTTTCGCGGCTGCCCGTTCCCTCGCCCTCCTGCCGCGCACGCGCCCTTATTTGCAAGGCGCTCCCGGTTACCTCTTGGCCGCTCACGGGGCTTCCCCTCTCCAAGGCCGGAGCCCCATCTTGGGTTGTGGGGATCTCTTCTACCCTCGGGAAGGGAGAGGTGTTGGGCGGCTCTGTGCCAGGAGAGGCCGTGAAAGCTCTCTTCTCGCCCTGGCGGAAGCTGCAGCTCTTGAGTCTCTTGTGTTCTGCTTGCCAGATCTCTAGAGGAAAGCAAGCCCACTTCATCTTATTCATGGATCCTGTCCAGATAAAAACCCTGCAGCTACAGGGCCTTCAAAACGGTTTCGAGCCTATCTCTCCTGAGTTGGGCCTTGTAAGGGGCATCTGAGATCCAAGTCCTCACTTGGAGGTCCAGACTCCTTTAGTAACTTTTCAAACACGAAATTGTCCTTGAAGTCTGCACTGTCAAGCCCTTCCCTCCCTGCCAAGCTCTGATACCTGGAAAAGCAGGCCAGTCTCACCTCTCTACTATGGCACTATGCAGTGCCCTAAGGCAGCTTTCCTATTCCTAACTGGCTAACTTATGCAAATTTAAAGCACCTTTAGATCTATGGATTCTTCCTAAACAGATCCTGGCAATGTAGATAAGTGAGCTCTTCCCCAAGAGGAAAAGCTCAGGTGCTGGGAGGAATGCAGAAGTGGGTACAAAACCCTGCAGGTAAAAGAGAAGGAAGCTGTTAACTAACCATGAGGAGGTGAGGAAAGGTTTCCCTGAGGCGATACTCGAGCTAGGATTGGAGAGAGAAAAGGAATTCTATGCTGAAAGTCAAGCAAATAAACTTCACACAAATGCAAGGGGTGTGTGTGTGTGTGTGTGTGTGTGTGTGTCACATTCTAGGAGATAAATCTAGGACAGTAGTAAAAATCTGAAAAAGCTAAGAAAGCTTTTTATACTCAGGAAACAAATAGGAAGCCAGGAAAATATTTTAAGGACTGGAAAGATATTGTTGTTTTTGTATTTTACAATTATCATTCTGTCAAGGGTTGGCTTCTATCAAACTACAGGCAGAAGGACCTGAAGAGCTCAAGACAAGTGAAGGTGGTGGGGATGGAGGCACCACTAGCAGAGTGTTCATTGGGCCAGACTGACGGGTCTGGTGACCAGCTGGGTGAGGGACACGGAGTGAGAGGCTTCTCGGATAAATCTGAGATTTCAGATGTGAAAAGCTGGATAGGGAGTGGTGCTGTGACAAGATTAAAGGAAGAGGAGCTGACCTTGGGACAGGTGTGTAAAAGGTAAGGCCATCAACACAGAAAAAAACTGAGGTGCCTACAGGACCTCCAGTGGAGCAGCCTAGGGAGCAAATAAGGTTCTCTCTGATGCTTCGGAGAGGCCTGCGTGGGTGTACCGATTTGAGCCTAGGGGTAGTGGCCAACAGCTGTGTAGAAGACCACAGCTAGAAGGGCATTTAGGATGAACACTTTATTGATGGCTAGAGAAAAGTGGTAAAAGAAAAAAGCTGAGAAAAGAGAGAACCAGGTGAGCCGCAGTCCTACAGGGCCAAATTCTGCAAAGAGTTCACTTATGGTAAAGCTAAATGCACAATTTGATAATTAGCATATCTTCCCTAACTAGAGAGACCTTGCAGTTTCAGAGGCAACAAAGATATCAAGTGCTTTAGGTTCCAGAAAAGGGGGCTTTTATGAGAACCTTGGTTGAAATGGGATAGACAGAAATTGAGTAGATATAGGAAGTAAATTCAAGGTCACAAGAGATTTACTTTTGAAAAAATGAGAGCTCAGCAGGCTAGAGGAAAAGAACTAAGAAGAGAGTTGAAAGTGCAGAAGAGCTAGCTGACACAAACAAGTTTTGAGAAAGCAGGAAGGATGATAGAAGCCTGGAAGTAACAGGTCCCCACACTGATAATGTTCAGCAGTGGGAGGGATACAAGCTGACAAATTTCCTGAGAAAAGAAATCAATAAAGTGAAGTAGGAGGCTAAATTAGGGGCTGAAATTAGATAGATTTTTTTAAAAAAAGAATGGAGCAGCCAGGGATATAGTTCAGTGGTGGAATGTTCACTTAGCATTTAGAAGGCCCTGGGTTCAACCCCTAGTACCGCAGAGTGGGTGGGAGAAAAAGGACTGGAGTAGCCATTACGGAGAAAAGGCCAGAAAGATAAGGCAAAGGACTGACAAATGAAAGGCTCCTGAGTGAACAGACCATGGATGTACAGTGGCATCCAAACACAATTTTTCAGTGAATTTCTTGAAGAAACCTGCCCACATGGGACACAGAGTGCATGCCAATGAGAGGGCACAACAGCTCAAGTAACTGGCATCTGGAATTTAAGGCGCATATTGGATAATAGAGAAAAGTGTGGGCTCTGGAGAGAGCAAATTGAATTCAGCTCTTCTGTTGGGTATGGTGGCAAATGCCTGTAATCTCAGCACTTGGAAGGCTGAGGCAGGAGGATCACTATGAGTTTGAGGCCAGCCTGAACTACATAGCAAGACCGTATCTCAAAAAGAAAAAAATAGACAGGTTTGTGCCCATGCAGTGGTCTACCAGGTCATCATGGCATCAAGTCAGCATGGTGTGAGGATGCCAAGACCAACTGTCCTCCGGTTAACCCTGAACTTCCTCTTTTGTTTTTCTTGCATGCCAAGACTTTCTCAGTCAATACCTGTTATGACCCTGACAAATTCTTTGCCAGCCTGCTTCTTCCCCAAGGGTTCCTGCTTCTCTTCTGCAGCCCTCCCTGTGCCAAGCAATAAAAGGCGTCATTACTTTTCTCCCACTTCTCTTTGGTACCAGAGGAAGGAACAAGAAAGTCAGAGAGATGGAAAGGAGAGCAGGATAGAGGAAGGGAGGAACGGAGAAAGGGAAAAAAAGAAAGAAAAATCCAGTCTTTCTGCTAATCCTTGACCCTAACTCTGAGCCTGGGTTCTCTCACAGGTGAAAGAGAGGAAATGTCACCCACAGGGTCACTGTGGGGACTAAATGAGATGAGGTCTATGCAAGAGCCTAACATCTGTCCAGAGTCCACAGAGAATGCTAAATTAAATCTTAATTTTTTTCTTTCAAGAGAAGATACTTATTATTTTGCCTCTTCTTGCCTAAGATACCAAATTGTATATACGTAGTATGCTTCCATTTTTAAAAAACTATTCAAATCTAAATTTATAAAAATAACTATACAAGTCTTTAGTGGCAATAGTCTCTACATTTAAAGCAGTACAACTGGCAAAATGATTCAGAACACATCTCAGACCTAAGTATAGACAACATGCTGCATTTTGTAGTTATAACCCCCAGAAACAGTAATTTACTAATGAAATGTAGGGGCTAAATTCACAGTCTCCATATTCTCTCAAGCCCATATAATCTTTGGTCAAAAAGATTCAGGATATATAGGAGAGCATCCCTGTTAACTTGGCTACCCAGATTTGAATTCTGGCTGTCATTTACTAGCTGTGTGAGACTGTAAGCTTATTGACATCTCTGAGCCTTGGTTTCCTCAACTATAAAATTAGAATAACAATCTGTACTTCAAAAGATATTTTGAGAACTAAGAGCATTAACATACCTTAAAAGCTCCAGAACAGCACCTAACACCTGCCAGTAATTACACTGTACAGAAGAACTACCATGCCTGCTGCTGCGGGCCCCACACGCTGATGAAGGATGAGGGCCTATGTGAAGAAAGGCTTCAGGATAATCTCTACTGCTTACATACGCTGACACTTCCTCATCACACACACCAAATCTGAGGTAGTATCCGCACCTAGAAGCAGCCTCCACAGCCCGAAACAGAGTATTAATCAGCATCAACACAGACGACTGAGGAAAGACATGAAGGAATCAACTAGATTTAGACCCTGATTCTGCTTAGTATGCTCTCCCCTGATCCATCATCTGTACCAACACAAATTGTACTTGAATTTTTCAAGTCCTATCATACCAGTATTGGGGAGAAAATCCCTGCTGGGGCCCTGGGAGACCCAAAATGGCAGTGGGAGCCAACCAGATGCCAGAAGGATGTGGCTATGGTTGAAGGCACATTTCTGTTCTTTTATAGTTTCAGTCTGGAACTTAACTAAAAAGCTCAAGCCTTACCTGCAAGAAGGGCTGGGCTGCTGTGCTCATGTGCGTCCTCTGTGCTCTGGGCCAAATCCGTCTTCTCTGGAATTAGCTGCTTACAAGATTTAAAAGTTCCATGTGAGTTTTTCTGAAGCATGAATGAGCCCTAGTGAAATATGAGTGTGGCTGGCAGCTTCACTCATGATCTCACGGAGCTTTCTCCACCTAGAAGTCCCATGAACTTGCTCCTGGCTCTTGAGTTCTCCTACACAGCCTTTTTTTTTTTTTTTTTTTTAAGACAAGGTCTCACTGTGTAGTCCAGGCTGACCCTGAACTCACAAAGTCCTCCTGTCTCAGCCGCCCTGAGTGCTGGGATTAGAAGTGGGCACTACCAATTCTGGCACAGGACTTCCTTCTGTGGCTCATCCTAGCCACTCGGAACACATCCTTACTTCTCTGAAATGCAGTTCCCTATCTCCCTGGAACCTGAAGTATGCTCTCCATGCCATTGTTCATCATTTTTATGTTAATATGTCTATTATCTATACTTCAAATCCCTTGGAAATTGATGTTCAGTATAACTCTGTCCCTTTACACCTAGTAATACCTTACATAGGGTCAGTGATCACAGTCAAACATGAGAAGACACAGGACACATACTGTAGTCCTGTGGAGCCCTTCAAAATCCTGCCACATTGGTTGGTTCAATATGGACAGGGAAACAGAGGTACATACTAAGACCAAAACCCAATCTTTCCAGCTTTTTTTTCAAGAATACAAATATAAGTCAGGTATGGCAACACAAAGCCTATAACCCTAAAATACAGGAGACCAAGGCAGGATTCCAAGCTCAAGTTCCCCCTGGGCAATTTAGTGATTTAGCAAGGCCTTATCTCAAAATGAAAACAAAAAAGGGGCTGGAGAGATAGCTCAGTGCAAAGGCCCTGGGCTGGCTGAATCCCCAGTAATAAGGCAAAAAACCAAAAAAGAATATGACATATTATATATATATATATATATATCCATAAAAATTAAAAAGTCATGTTTTAAGGGAAACTGAGAAAAGTGAAAAGTAAATTTTAAGAAGGAAAGAAAATATTTGTAGCTGTTGGGCTCCTAGCTCTTTCCCAGCCTTGTTGCAGCTGCTTTGCAGCTGTTTTCAGCATCCAAACAAGCCACTGTCCCAGGATGGTGATCCGCATGTATATTCTATCTTCTTCTGGCTCTATGGCGATTAAGAAGAAACAGCAAGATGTGCTTGGTTTCTTAGAAGCCAACAAAATAGGATTTGAAGAAAAATATATTGCAGCCAATGAAGAGAATCGGAAGTGGATGAGAGAAAATGTACCTGAAAACAGTCGACCAGCCACAGGGTATCCCATGCCACCTCAGATTTTCAATGAAAGCCAGCACCATGGGGACTATGATGCTTTCTTTGAAGCCCGAGAAAATAATTCAGTGTATGCCTTCTTAGGCTTGAAGGCACCACTTGGTTCAAAGAAAGCAGAAGCCCAGGCAAAGCAGCAAGCATGAATCTTAAGCATTCTGCCTTAAGCATCTTGAAAAATGAGTCCCTATTGCTTTTATAAATTAAGTTTTTCAAATATCAAAATTATCTTAATTTCAAAAGAAATTGTTTCAAGTTAAAATAATTAGGTGGTGTTTTCATGTATAATAAAATGAATGCATAAGTAAAATATGAACATTATGTTGAGGATAATAGAAGATTATGATAAAATTTTAAAATGGGATAGTATTATGTGCCAAGACATTTTTGTGCTTCAATGATTTTTACATAGAGAACACCCTTTTTGAAACTATTGCAATTTAATTCTATCTGCAGCTAAGCAGTGAGAATTTGAGGAAGAGATACTGTCTCTCATTTCCAAACTGTTTCATTAGTTTTGGTGAAGAAGAATGTATGTTTTTGCAGTGAAGTTGTGATCAGAAAATAATTGCAGGTAATGATACTGATATGTGAAACATTTTAATTTTGTGTGGGAATTATAACATTCCCATTCTTTTGTAGAAGAAACTTCTATGTCCCAATCCACCAGCTTCCAAAGATTTGTAGTGTAGACTTTCATGCCACATTAAATGAGCAGATCGCATGACCTCTCCATAAAAACAGGTGCATTCGTTTGACAAGTTCTTTAACTGCATTCTCATGATGAAGTCATGTTTCTGAGTTGCTTATTGCAGTGAAAATATGCACATTTTGTCATGGAATTGGGATAGCAAGTAAGCTTAAAGAAGCATCCTTTTAAATAGAGCTCAGATTTTAACTATTAAAAAGTATATTGTCATTTATTACCTAAGATTTGTTTTCCATAGGTTTCTCCTAAAAGAAATTTCAGTGGATTTCCCTTTTTAAAGGCACATTGCAACTGTGAATGCCATTCTGTCTTGATACTGGACCTTTCTGTTTCAGTTTAGTCATAAATTGTTTGAACAAATTAAGCCAAGCAGAGATAATACCTTCTGTGCCCCTATTGCATGAAAATGTATAAATATCAAGTAAAAGGGTTATGTTAATCAGTGTCCCATTGTTGTGACAAAACATCTGAGAAACAATTTAAGAAAAGAAAAGGTTCCATTTGGCTCATGGGTTTGGAGGTCCCGTCACTTGGCCTTATCACTGTGGGCCTGCAGCGGATGAGAGCATGAACGTGCTGAGGAGAGCATGGAAGAGGACAGCTGCTCACCTCGTGGGGCAGGGAAACAGAGAGAAAGGTGTCTTTTTCAGCAAAGCTCCTAACCCTAAACACATTCCAATATGAATTCATCAGTAGGTTCATATGTTGATGAGTTCAGAGCCTCTGTTATCCAATAATTTTTGAAAGGCTTCACAGCCACCTACTGCTGCTATGGGGACCAAGCTTTCAACACATGAGCTTTTGAGGGACACTGTAGATATAAGCCATGACAAAGGACATCTTTTAAAATATTATTAAATAATTCTAAACAGGAAAAGTCACCTAAATCACTTAATTCAGAAAGGAAGGCTTTTTGCATTAGCTCTGTACTAGCTATTTCAAAAAATCACAGTTCTTTCTTTAGTTTACCCTATTTCTTATTTGCCAGTCTGTACTCTATAAAAATCAAGAGGGGGCCGGGGAGATAGCTCAGTAGAATAAGCACTTGCCTGGCAAGCGCAAGGGCCTGAGGTCAATCCCCAGTTCCACCAAAAAAAAAAAAAAAAAAAAAAAAAAAAAAAAATCAACATATAATGCAAAAATGGCTTTGTTTATTGATAATGAATTGATGTGATGCTTTAAAATAAACTCAGTACTTTCAGAAAAAAGAAAATATTTGTAAATCATATCTCATAAAGTATTTTTTATTGAGAATAACTTATAACTCAACAATAAAATAATAACCCAATTTAAAAATGGACAAAGTGGGCTGGGAAGATAGCTCAGTAGAATAAGAGCCTGCCTGGCAAGCACAGACAGGGTCCTGAGTTCAATCTACCCCCCCCCCAAAAAAAAATAGGGCTGGGGAGATAGCTCAGCAGTCTAAGAGCCTGCCTGGCAAGCTCAGGGACCCGGGTTCAATCCCCTGTACCACACGCCATGCCAGCCTGGATCCCAACATGGTGGCGTACTCCTATAATCCCAGCACTGGGGAGACTGACAGGAGGCTCACTGTGAGTCCAAGCTGCATAGTGAGACCCTATAACAAATAAATAAAAATTTTTAAAAAATCATTTTAAAAAATGGACAAAGGACGCGCTGGGCAGACAGCTCAGCCACCTAAGCACTTGCCTGGCAAGTGCAAAGTCCTGGGTTCAATCTTCGGTACTGTGCTGGGGAGGCCGAGACGGGAGGATCTACGAAGCAGAGCTACCTAGCAAGACCATGTACCAAATAAATAAATAAAAGATTAGAAAAAAATGGACAAAAGATGTGAAAACATTCCTCCAACAAAAATATAAATTGCTAATAAGCACAAAAGATTCTCAGAGTCATTATGCATTACTCAATAACACTATGAGAAGTCAGGTGTGGAGGCACACACCTGTAATCTCAGCAATCAAGAGGCTGAGGCAGGAGGATTTCTGGGAGTTCAAGGCCAGCCTGGGCTACATGGTGAGTTCAGGGCCACCCTGAACTACATATCAAAATCCTATATAAAAAATAAAAAAACTAAACTATTACATAGCTACAAGAATTACATTAATAATAGTAGTGAAAATAAAAACAGATGTTTGATGGGGATGTGAAGAAATTGTAGTGCCATTATAGTGCTGACAGGAACATAATATAGCCACACCACTTTGAAAAATGATTTAGAAATGCCTTAACATGTTAAACTGGCTGGGGGTGTAGGTCAGGTAGAGGATGCGCTTAGCACTTGTGGGCCCTAAGTTAAATACTGTTATAAGTATAGTCCAGCAATTCTATTGCTGGGTACAATGGGTGAACAAAATATACACAAAATGTTTGAATTTTAAAAATTTATTGCAGTAAAAGACACTGCCATTAATTTCCTTCAAAATATTCCCACTCACTTCACACATTTATGCCAATGTTCTTGCTACTTCCTGAAACAGTTCTGCAAGTCTTCTTTTGTGTCTTTCCAAGTGTGATTAAAAATACCATAATACTGCTACTGACTGCCACCCAATGGGAAGGCTCATCCACTTTATTCACTGGATCTGGCTCTATGCAAATTCTCGCTCTTTCCCAGAGTTAAAGTAACCATGAAAGGTAAATAGTTGGAATCAGTTTAGGACAGTACAACAAAGATACAAAAAAAGACTTTCAGAACTGCTTCACAGAGTGGCAAGAACAATGGGATAAATGTGTTCAAAGCAAGGGGCAGTAATCCCTTTGAGGGGGATTACTAGCAACATGTTTTACTGTGATGAAGTTTTTAAATTTAATCACTTATATTTTCCTATCATACCATGTACACATCCAAAAGAATTTCAAACATATGCCCACACAAAAATTTCAAAACATTATTTATAATAATTAAAAATGATTATTTATCACCTGATGAATTAATAAGTAAAATGGAGTGTATCCATGAAATGGAATATTGTCATAAAAATGAAGTGCTGTGACATGCTATGACACAGAATAACCTTGGAAACATTTTCTTAAAGAA